ACCACGTAACATCCTTTTCGTCAAGGACTAGCATCGAAGTGACAAGTCTTGTGAGTGCCGCAGCACAATCACTGACAAGTCCTCTGTGTCAGCGCTATGAAGTAACCGAGGCCGCACCCCAAGAACTCACAATAGTCCCAGAAGAAAGATTAGACATAGCGCGATCTTCTGCGAGGTCGGTAGCTGTATAGACCACACACTTGGCATGGGCATCAGCCAAACTGCAAAGTCAGTGGTGATGTTGACGATGGCGTATCCAATACCGAATTTTTTGAAATCCAAGCACGATCCTTTGCGTGTCCAGAAGGCGCTGACTGGTGTGCAGTTGAAGATGCTGATGAATGTGGAGGTTATACCCCACATGGCGACCAGCAGAGCCATCGTGTGTACCACCAGATGAAAGCGACGAGACGGAAATATACGTTTGTACAGGAATAAGAGCGACAACTTAACCGTTGGCGGTGCGACAACGTAACAGATTTGGAAGTAATACGAAAGATAGTAGAACTGGGACAACTGGGCTTCGGAGACGACTGCCCGATGCTTTCCAAGTCCGTTCTGCCTACCTGAAATATCTTACAGTGATCATTTGCTTAAAAGGTGACCTTTGGGGAACTCACAGGCCACGAATATTCCGAATAGTGCCCAAACCCAGATCTATTCGCATTAGTTTCTCCTCGCGACGGTGTAGTGCTTCGATGGCTCATTACCAAAGCGAGCAAGATGAACCAGTCATCGGCGGCCAAAGGCGCAGCCTTGAGGCGTCTTGCTGAAAACCGTCCAAACACAGCTAAGAAGGCAAGTATGGCAAAAGTGGTAATGCAGGCCCACAGCGTCAGCCCTCGATCCTCGGAGACGTCCGCGACTGTATTGGCCAGCATGATGTTCGATTGCCGCGTTGGTATCGTAGCTAAAACATTGAAACAATTTGGGAGATGGAAGGGGAAGGCCCAGGTCAGATGAAAAGGAGCAAGATACAGTAGTGATGAAGCATTTAAAGACTAGCTACTCGTGTTGACCATCCAACCCGCCATCACCGGACTCGAGAACCCAAGCCTGCTGGTTGCGTGGTCTACCAGGAACGCCTGCCACATTAGACGGCAGATACGATCTGTTGGTACTTAGTTGTCCAGCCGCTCGCCCAATTTTCTGTGATTGCGTTGGCTCGCACATCCCAAATCCCTGCCCCCATACTGACTGGGGTGAGGACGTTGCATCGAGCCGTGCCACTGCAACCCAGCAAGTTTTCCACGGCCGGTGTGTGTTCCCCCTCCTCTTGGAAGGCCTGTCATGAGATCAAGGACGACGAGGTTGGCTTAAAAATGTTGCGACGATGTATACGTGGGGCTTGGGGAGTCACGTACGAAACGAACCAGATTGTCAATTAGGCAGCGTCGAGGCCCTATAGGGACTTCCCTCCGGGCGTAATAAATCCATGCCATGCCATGCCCTCCTCTTGGCGGCGGACCCCCTCTTCTTGTGCCTAGAGGGAATTAAAGGGTGTAGAGGCAGCGCCCCAGCCCTGCTCACAACCGGCAACTCACCAACTACACTATACGCACCTTTTCACACAAAATGACGGAAGCAGAAGCGCCCACCTGGCAGGAACAGGCATTGCACATTTGCGCAGTTCGTGATGCTTCCATGGCAACGATCAAAGCTGAACTGCCCGACATGTCCGGTGACAAGCATATAGCCAGGGTTATCGGCGTTCCACGTCTGCGGCTTACTGAAAGGGACGTCCATATCACTGAGAGTGCTGCGGAAGACCTAGTGAGACAGCTCGCAGCCGGCGAAGTGAAGGCCAAAGAGGCTGCTTTGGCGTTCCTCCGACGTGCTGTTGTTGCGCATCAGCTGGTGAGACACAATAATACGTCGCAAGCGTTCCAGGAAATTTCACCTAACTGACCATGGGTAGACAAACTGCATATACGAGCTTCTACATGATCGGGCCCTTGGCCGGGCACAAGAGCTTGACGACTACCTGGCCAACAATGGGAAGCCCATAGGTCCACTCCATGGACTGCCCATCAGCGTGAAGGAGCACATTAGTGTTTCCGGATGTGAGAACACTGCCGGATTCGTCGGCTGGGCTGGCAGAAGAAAGGACGAAGATGCGAGCATCGTCAAGATATTGCTGGACGCCGGCGCAGTTCTATATGCTAGAACCACTGAGCCGCAAGGGCTGGTATGCAATGCACTCTTCACTAATCTATATTGGGATGCTAATGTTACCGGTCATGGTATTGATAGATGGCAATCGAGACGCAAAGCAACATCACTGGTGTTACTGTGAATCCTCATAATCGCGCTCTCACATGTGGGGGCTCGTCTGGTGGAGAGGCAGCGTTGCTGGCATTGCGCGGGAGCCCACTTGGGATAGGGTCAGATATTGGTTAGCACAGCCCGCGACACGGCCCAAAATCAGAGACCTAACAAGATCCTAGGTGGCAGCATTCGTTTGCCGGCAGCTCATTGTGGGCTTTATGGATTCAAGCCGTCATCAGGTCGGCTTCCATTGATGGGACTCGAGGCTTACTGCATAGGTTCCGATACAATCGCACCGAGCATCGGTCCCCTATCTCCTTTCCTTGGAGGCATCAAACTATTCATGGACACTGTGTTGATGTCAGAGCCCTGGCACAACGACCCTTCCCTTCTTCCTGTACCATGGGCAAGTCAGGCGGCCCACATCCACCAACAGGAAAAATTGCCTTTAGTTGTGGGGGTCATGTGGACGGATGGCATCGTCCAGCCTGCCCCTCCCATAAAAAGAGCGCTTTTGGAGGTTGTGGACAAGCTCAAGTCTACGCCAGGTGTCCAGGTTATAGACTGGCAGCCCTTCAAGCAGAATGAGGCACTGGAGATTCTTGTAAGTCGCACCACGTTTTGTTCTGTCACTGCAAGCTCGCTGAACCACAGTATCTCTACTCCAGAAGCGATTGTACAGCCCAGAGGGGGGTAGAGCGTTCATGGAAAACCTCGCTCTGTCCGGCGAACCCATCTTGCCCCTCCCCGCTTGGACCGTTCGCGACCAGCCTGGAATCGAGGCACTCGACATCAAAGGTCTCTGGTATTGGACTAGAAAACGCGACCAGTTTCGCTACTCCTATTTAAAAGGTACTGCAAGACTTGCACGCCGATTAGCCCTAGATTGACAATCTTGCAGAGTGGAATACAGCGGCGCCGAATATGGATGTCATTCTCTGCCCTGCGTACCCAATGCCCGCACCAGTTCATGGAACTTCACGGTATTGGGGCTATACATCTCTCTGGAACCTCCTGGATTACCCAGCCATTACCTTTCCTGTCACCAGAGTTGACCGTGAGAAGGATGGTCAGGCTCCTGGTTACAGTCCCCTAAATGACTCCGACAGGTGGTGCTATGACAGCTATGATGTTCAGAAACAGAAGGACGCGCCGGTTTCGCTACAGTTGGTGGCGCGGAAGTCGGAAGATGCGGAGCTTCTACAAGCAGCAGAGAAGATCCAGCGGGAGATTGGGTTGCCTTTCGTGGATTGCCTGGCCTAGGCCACGGTAGTGGCTATCTGAGATAACGAGCTGAAGGGAGATGGCCACACAATATCAGTCCAGTGTCCTAGATTCGACGACCAACTCAGGGTGAGATTGTCAATGACTTCCGTAAGACGGCCTCGAGGAGTGGCACCCTCTTGGTGCGGTGAACTGCAGATCGTTTTATCGTGGGATAGAGCGGGTGTACGAGACTTGAGGAAGCGAGACGCGATGCGGGCGAACCAATGATGGGTAGGAACGTGGTCTGTCGCAGTACAGTGTATGGTATCTGGAGACTAGATCGCGCATTTCCTAGCTAAGTATGAACCCTCAGTTAGGCCTCGGCTAAATGCCATACGTTCAAAGTCAGGGCGAATGGCAAGCTTAACACTTCAATCGGCAGCTTGACCGGCATTCTGCGTGCAATTGATGAATGGCACAATTCGGACGGCGCTTTGTTCAGAATGTGACGGTATCGGACAGATCGCAATGTCTTGATGCAGGAGGATACGAACAACGAGTGTTGGTGGTAGATGCTCTCGTGACTGGCCAATGACTTACTGTTCAACGTTGCTTCTTCGCAGACTGAGAGCGAAGTACAGTGCAGGTGCGCGACGGGAGAAGATGAGAGAACAGACTGGACACAGAGGTTTCGGGGTGTCGTTCCTAGACCCTTCCGCGGCCGCATCTACTGCATTCTCATGTGACGCAAGTTTCGGCTCCTCGACACACTGCTGCAGGCTTCTTGCGGATTGACTCCCGCCGACTCCAGGACTTCACCCAGATGAGCCATTGTCGGCGCTCAGACGAGGGTGTCAGCGTTGCAGGCAAGCGTCAACATGGATGTCCGGTGCGATGGTGTGGAGAATCGCGGGGTGAAGGTTGATGGTGTGAAACAAAGAAGCTGCTGCAGGGCTGAATGACAGGGGACACGGATCCTTGGCTGCACCCATGTGCCCACCCTGGTTTTACCCCTGGTCCTGGGCAATGTGCAACAAGTCGGCGTTCACGGCGATCCAGAAGCGGCTGCAATCCTTCTTTGCCTCCTCCCGCATTCCTCTGCCCCCATTCGCGTCCCGTGCTTCACACCACATGTCCTGCAAGCCTACATGCTTCACACCACTCATCCTGCAAGCTTCATACCCCTCGACCTGGGAGCCGATTTTGCTTCACACCACTCGTACCGCAAGCCTTCAAGCTTCACACCACACACCCTGCGAGCTTCACACCACGCTTTCTGCAAGCCGACTTTGCTTCACACCACGCGGCCTGCGAGCTTCACACCACTCGTCCTGCAAGCCTGCGAGCTTCACACCACACGTCCTGGAAGCTGTTTTTGCTTCACGCCACATGTCCTGCAAGCCCACAATCTTCACACCACATGTCCTGCGAGCTTCACACCACGCTTTCTGCAAGCCGACTTTGCTTCACACCACGCGGCCTGCAAGCCTGCAGGCTTCACACCACTCATCATGCAAGCCTACTTTGCTTCACACCACACGTCCTGCAAGCCGAGTTGCTTCACACCACATGTCCGGCGAGATTCACACCGCTCGTCCTGCAAGCCTACATGCTTCACACCATCATCCTGCAAGCCTCACACCACCCGACGTGGAAGCCGATTTTGTTTCACACCACTCGTCCTGCGAGCTTCATACCACTCATCCTGCAAGCCTGCAGGCTTCACACCACATGTCCTGCAAGCCTACATGCTTCACACCACACATCCTGCGAGCTTCACACCACACGTCCTGGGAGCCGATTTGGCCTCACACCACACGTCTTGCAAGCCACTTTACTTCACATCACTTGTCCTGCATGCTTCACACCACTCAGGATACAGGGCTGTGTGACAGACAGAGGGATCCAGAAATCGCTCCCGTTCTTCGTGTTCGCTACCCAGTTCCCCAAACTCTCTGCAAGCTTCATCCTGCTCAGTTCGAATCACAGAGTTACTACTGATGGCGTGCATGAGGCCCGAGCGGGAGCTCCCCTACCCTGCACAGACGCTTTTCATCCGTGTCGATGAGCAACTAACTGGTGGTGGGTACAAGCCAGGCTTCGGCTTCACTACTCTGCGACTACCGCCCGCAACGTCAAAGCACGATGGGATGTACGCAGTTCCAGCGTCGCCTACCGGTACAGTAGTGCCCGTCTCGATAGCGTGCGGGAAGACGACGTCGGAGTGCATCATACCTGCGAACCGTTCGGGCACTTCGAATAACGACTGACCCCAGGTCCCACGCAAAGCTCAATTGTCAGCGCCAAGTAGGCGAGCCATGTACGTCGAACAAAAAACGCCGACGCGACGAAGACCGAGCATGAAGTGAAGTCAATCAATACCCTACGAGACTAGATACATGTTTTAATGCGACCGCCATTGTTCACATCGTCCATGACCGTGCACATTACCGCCCAGTCGTCCGACATCCGGCGTTGCCGCAAACCGAAGTGCGACCAGGGGGGTAAAGCGTCTGTTGGAGGCTACGGCCGCTTCTAGGCCAGCGTGATTTATGACAAGATTTCCCCAGGTCATACAATCGGATAACAATCCTGCATGCCAGACACCTCCTTGCATAGCAAGTGATGTATCTGGGTCACGCAGAAATTGCACCAAGAACGTTATCGACGAACCTGGCTTCAAAGTACCTGTCAGTAGCTGGCCGTTCAATGCCTCGGGATCCGCTGAGATTCGCAAACGTCTGTTTCATACGAGGGCGTCGATTCGCCAGTCTGTCCTGGTATGTACTGGTTGGGGGTTCGAATCGTGCAGCCTTACACGGGCTAGCCGGGGTGTTGCAAGGCAGCGCATCCAGGTTGAATTCGTCGCGGTGCTGAATGACAGTCATAGAGTGAGTCTCTCTGTCATCACCGGCCACTCACTGTGAGGTCCAGCGGGTAGTCTGTGTGAGCGGCGCAACGGGAGAGAGACGTGACACGGCGGCAAGACGTCGCATCCTTGTGGAACGCAGTGCCCATAAACTCTGACATGACAGAGGCAACTCAAAGCCCCTCACCACCATTAGGATTTGTCGGAGTATGCAAGCTCGCCAAGAGGGTAGGAGGGCGCTGGCGTGTGTCCGTCCAGTTCAAGCACGGGCGTCAAGGCTCATCTTCCGTAATGTTGCCTGGTACTGAGCGCTGTACGCCCATAACAATTCTCATACATTCGCCGAGCCGATGGAGTCTGCGACTCTTAACCTGGTCCTGTGTGCGGTGTGTGGCCCCTTGGGTTCTGGTTCACCAAGTACATGCCGTAATCGGAGCCATACTGCCTGCCGGGGGACATGATGGGTTCATCTTGGCCAGCTCTTGGCTGCTGGACGTGGAAGGCAGGCGACTGAGCTCTGTGTACCGGCTCGTGCTGTATTGCGTGGGGCCCAGTCCTATGGCCTGCAGCCTGTGACCACATGGGCTGGTTGATATACTTGTGTGACTGAAGAGATTGCGGATACAGGTTCTCCCTCAACGCCTGTGGAGGGTGCGTCGGGGGCAGGAGCGGCTGCGTAGCAGCAATTGTGGCAGCCGTGTAAGCCGATGTGCGAACGGCCGGCAGTGGCGATGCGGTCGCCGCCAGAGCCAGCAGGCTGCTGCTCATTTGTGCCAGGGGACGATGGCTGCTCTGGACGGTGCGGCCAATCTGTTTGCATGTGGTCGTACGGTGTGTGGCGCTGGCAATTGGAATATCCACTGACCCCGACAAGGTCAGGAGGCGGCACCCGAGCTTCGTGTGCGGTCGAGATCATGTCCATGGCCGGGTTTTGGTGTGGGCCAGTGGCCTGCCGACTTGAAGTTCCATTGCCGGTGCTGCTCCAATGTCTTGGATAGGCCCCGCTAGAATATGTCCAAGCCGCGGCCGCTCCGGGCATCGCTGCCGTGTTCTGTGGTGGAGCGGCCGTCGTGCCTGCAAGTTTGGATCGCTGTGCATCGGGCTGCGATGGCGTTTCGATGGCGGTATTCAAGGCGACTTCTATGCGGGGGCAGCTCTGCAAGTGATTGTTTCTAGACTCGGCCATGGCCCGGCTTTGGGAGCCTGGTCGCTTTTCGCCCGCGGGATCGGCTTCGGTGAAACCCTGCTTGCGCGCCAACGTTTCCCAATAGTCGTCGCGGACCCTGCGCCCATCCTCAATAACGCGGCTGCCAAACTGTCGAAACATGGATCGGGCCGTCACAATGGCGATCTGCCTTGAGCGGAACGAGGATGGAAGGATCTCACGCTGCACGAGATCGTCCTTCTCGACTTGGCTAGCGACGATCTTATATAAGAACCGATTCTTGTTGAACAGCAGATAAGAATCTCGGTATCCTAGCTTTTTGGCGCATTCGGTCGCCAGCATGAAGAGTTTGTCGCCTCGATGAGCCACAAGAAACGTCCTACACCGGTAACGTCTTCCGCCTAGAAGTTGCCCGTTGGCCATGACCTTCTTCTCTCCGAACTCATCGGAGATGGCCGTCAAGGGTAAGAGGGTAAGTTACCCAAGGCTTGATCCGAAAGGGTCCACTGGCGACAATGTCGTTTGGGTGCGCTGGACTCGAGGAAGCACAGCGGCGAGGGGAAAGGCGGCTCATGGCGATGCTGGCCAGGTCATGCACCTGAAAGCTAAGAGGCGCGGACTTCGTAATGAAACCTCAGTGGCGTCATCGCCGTTGGGTGCTGCCTGGCTGTGATGGCGCTGCAGGAGCAGAACACGGCAGCTGACTTGAGCTGCCGGATTGCAAAAGCAGACTAACCAGCTCCGGAGTTACTCGCGAGAAACCACGTGACAACCAGCAGCGGGAGTGGGGGCAACGGGTAAACAAACACGACGACGGCGCCAAAGAGGGCCGACCACATCTCTTATGCAAATGGGAAGCACCGCCTTGTTCGAGTTGACGTCGTCTCGAGGACGAAAGACGGGCTGATTACTGCGGAACTACCAGGTTCAAGCCTGCGTACGCATTGTCCGAATCCACATTATCAGGATCACGAAACTGTACCTCTCTCCTCCGACTGACGCCCCGAATTTCGGTTCTGTCCCGTGGTGGAGAAACCGGCACTGCTTAGTAGGCGCCCATTCGCTGGTATTGCGCGACGGAGGTCCAACATTCTGCCACGGCGATGCAATAAAGACAAAACATCTTTGAGATTTTGTTTTCGGCCGCCGTGATGCCTAAAATTGTGGCTCAGTTGTCACACGGGCTACCCAACATACGGTTAAGCCCCCGGTTTTACGCCTGTGACCACAACAAAGTCGAAAATAGGGTGAACATGTTTGCGCTTTGCTGCTGCCCGCACAAGGGCATTGAACACCTCCACTTCCTCTTGCGACCAGCCTAGGATATCCCTGAACAATACTGCGGTGAATGCGTCGACGCCCTCATAAAAGTTGACCGCAAGAAAGGCGCCAATTTCCTTTAGCCGAGGGTCTTTTGGCCAGCTACCGACGGGTAATTTGAAGCGCTGTTCTTCGACATTAGTGAATCCCGCTTCACTAACCCAGTCCTTAAAAGACGGCGCTGGGTCAAGTGTCCGTCCAATTCGGCTGCAAGCCTCGATAAGCAGGTCCATCAGATGCACCAGAGGGTTGTCCGGTTTGAGGGAATCATCCTCCGAATAGAGCGTGTTAGCGGTTTCCTGAAGCTCTATCCACCCTCCCGGCTTGAGGTTCTCGTAAATATGACGGATCAAACGTGGCCAGTCTTTGATCGATCCCGCCATGTACCGACAGTGGATGTAGTCGTATTTTATGGATTCGACCCAATCCAGCTCGACATCGTCGACAAAGAACTTGACGTTTGGAGGCACCAACGGCGGCTGAATCGGACTGAGGTCGTTGCCGACAATAGTGGCGCCAGGATATAAGTCCGCAAGGTCGATCGGCCACAGACCTGTTCCTGTGCCTATGTCGAGAATGCGAAGCCCATTCGGTTCAACTTGCGCGAGAAATAGGCGATTGTTGAGCGCCCTGTAGTAAACATGGTGAACCATATCCAGTCGGTCCTGCTCTCAATCGTCGTTGGGGAAGTTGTACGTCCCAGACCGATAGCTGTGGTATCGTCGTCCGTTCTTCCATTCGTACTTCATGATGCTGCTGCGCAACGACGTGCTGGAGGATGAGACCTCATCGCCATAGGTCGAGTCCACTTCATCCTCATCGACCTCGACGCGGTCTTCGGCTGAAGAGTCAGCGACCTCTTGCTGAGGCATAGCCACAATTGGTGAGATATGAGCTGAGAGAAATATGCTAGAGTGAGGTCGCGAAACTCGCTGCGGGGAGAAATCACGCTGCGGGCGCCGACTCCGCACACAGTGCAAGGTATGTTTGCATGGTAGGTTCCCAGGTCGACAGGCTGGACCAGGACGGTCGCCGTGTTTCTCGACTTCCTCTTTACTGGTCGAGTGGGGAGATTGGGGAGTCGTAGAAGGAAACAAGCCCCCGGGGGGGCGGGGGGCGGGGGCCAGGTTAGGCCGTCAGGGTGTGTCTGTTGGGTGGAACTCGTGCCTGCGAGCGGTAACGGTCAGGGACAAGGCCTTCGGAACTGTGGTTCCACACGCCGAGAAAGCCACATTTGCACGACCCTTTTTTTTTGTTAGATTGGCGAGCTAGCCGTATGCAGTACGGATTAGACGAGTGCCACAGCAACCCCCGCTGAGCCAGTGCTGCAGTCCCCAGATTAAAATACCCACTGCAGCACCTCCCTGGCCGCTCCCGCTCTGCACCGCTCTGGCAGTCTCACTCTATCCCTCTGGCAGTGAGGCAGCGGAGGCGGACCACTGCTCACCTTGAGGCTTGTGGCTGCGTGCACCATTGACGAGGCTCCGATCACTACTGCTTCATTATTCACCTGGCGAACGAGAAAGGGAGCGCCCGTGGGCCTATCCACTTGATGGAACCGCGCGACGCACTTTCAGTAAAAACTAGACCTCAGGTGCAACTGTAAGGTGCCATCGTTCCTGAAAATGCCATCCCTCATCCCCTGCCGACCTTGCCCCGGACGATGTAATGCCCCACCTGGAAGCCTGCACAGGTGCGACAATATGCTAACCGTCTTGAGATTCTTCTTCGCTGCTACAGAGACCCGATTACGCCGTTTGCCGTCAAGAGTCGCCCCCAATCATCAGTGGAGGGTAAGATTCCTCGCGTCAGCTCGCCTGGGGAACGTGCGGCGTTGATGGAGCCCATGACGCAACTCTCCAACCAATGCTGGATCTGATTCCGTAGCTTGGATCAGTGCGACGCGCTTACGACGGCTGCAGCCGTGATTGACGCCGGCCCGCTTCCGCCTTTCAGGGGCGGCACTGGCCCCACTGCCTGTGGCAGCGCGGAAGAGATGTGCAGATCCGAGCCTGGTGGGGTTAGTGTGAGTCTGCTAAGGTGAGCCGGACACCTTCCGAAGGGCTGATCCCTGATTGTTCAGTTGAGCCAAAGGTCGCGCGACGGCTGCGTTACAGTAACGGAGTCGACGTACTGTACAGTACTCCTCCTGGATGCCCCTGCACATAACGCCCGCAGATCGATCAGGTTCCAAGTATCCACTACTCCTCCACTCGTGTCACCTGAGCGTCCAGAATCTCTGAGATCGCTCCAGGAACAGGGGTCATGCTCGGGGGTACTGATGCTTTTGTGGAAAAGCGCCGAAAATGTCAACAAAGCCTTGCCGCGGACCTCCAACCCACAAGGCCGTCCTGCCCACTCCTCGTAGCAGACAGGCAAGTCACTCGTGGACCGGCCAGGGCCCCTGTTGAAGACTTCGGGCTCAGCCGGATTTGCATTTCCAACGTTCAGAATCCGGGCGATCCAGATTCTCCTCTGCATGGACCCCACCGGGTGACGCTTGTCTGGCTGCTGCGATGTACATCGAGATCGCTAATCTGCGACATCGTTCAGGTCGCACCACAAGCGAGCAAAAAGGTACGCCCGTCCGCATGCGATGATCGTCAAGGTCTGAAGGTGTCATAGACGATGAGCGAATCGCGGCCCCTTCCGAATACGAAGAGGGATGCAACGTGCTTGACAAAGACTTCGAGCGGCCTCCTCGCTGCATCATCTCGTAACACCACTCTCTCGCCACACTGCAGGAGAAAGAGGCCGCGTCCAATAAGCCGCAAAGAGAAGACGCCGAACAGAGGCACAGAAATTGCCCTGTTACGCCAGAGGGCCTGCTGTTGCTCCCCAGGCTCAACAGGGCGGACCGGGTCCGGTGGATCACCATGAGGCCCTGCCTTGGCGTGGTCCACGGTGCGTTCTTCGCCCAATGGCTGGCGCGAGCTTCCCACACCTCCTGCTTCTGCGCTAGGCCTGTTCCTGAACAAGGCATCGACGACGATTCGACTGCCTACAACAGCCGCCCTCCTCATCGTCGACTCTGACTGGGGCTGGCTAGAATGGGGTCTCATCTTATCATGGCGTTTCGGTATTGCGGGCATGGGTCTTTTGCCTGTGCCTCTTGGCGCTCTGACTGTGCCGTGCGTATGGATCACGATTGGACGCTGGCCTGTAGTGTGCCCATTTTCCAGTCCAGGAAGTGCCCGAAGGTACGATGTAGCAAGGCTCCGCCGTGCCAGCAGAGCCGCATTGCACGAGTTGCCCGCGGGGAGGCGGCGGGCTGCCCGTCAAAACGGGAGGCGCTCCTCCGGCCGAGTCCATCCCATTTCTACATCAACTCTGCCTCTGTGTCACGTCTCAGAGAAACGGCTCGGTTACCAGGCCGCCTGCAAACGTTTGTTTGCGTCCTTTCGTTGATCTCAGTATCATCACACTCTTTACTCGGCCTCGGCCAACTTGCAGTCTCTCCCTATTTTGGTAACGCAAATCATTCCACGACGGAATGTCTCTCTCTGTTCGCGGCGTGGTTGGCGCCAGTGTTGGCGCCTTCGGCGCTCTTAACGGTTACTGGGTCAGTCTTCAACCCGGCCAAGGCATGCTCACGGGCGCTCTATGTTGACACTTTTCGCAGGGTCAAAAAGACAACCAGGGCCTGCGAGCTTATTGTGATAGTGGTGTTAGCTCTGTTACCCTGGGTTTTATCAACTCGGCTCCGGAGCACGACAAGTCGGACCTGAAATACCCAGGCATCAACTTCTCTACCCACTGCTGGGCCGAGACGTACACTGACAAGAATGGCGTCCCTTCACCCCTGTACGAGTACTGCCAGAGCCTGAAGACGGACATCCCCTACTGCCAGGATAAGGGCGTCAAGGTCATCCTGAGCATTGGTGGCATGTACAGCAGCGCCAACAATTACAAGGTCTCGACGACTGCCAACGGCGTCCATTTTGCTGACAAGTTGTATCAAATCTTTGGCCCCTACAATCCCACAGCCGGTGTTGCCCGCCCCTTCGACTCCCCCGATAGGCACGTGGCTGTTGACGGCTTCGACTTTGATCTTGAGGTCGAGCTTGGTAAGACAAATATCGACCATGGACGACACCCTCCAGTGCTGATAGTTTCTCCCCACAGACAACAAGCCCTACATCGCTATGATCAACAGGCTGCGTGCTCTTGACAATTCTCTCATCATCACTGGCGCCCCTCAGTGCCCCCTGTCCACCACCCCGAATGTCATGGCCGAGCTGCTCCAGCAGGCTTCCTTCGATGCTCTGTTCATTCAGTTCTACAACAACCCGGTGTGCGACTACGTCGGTGACGGTAATGGTGACAAGTTCAACCTGGATGAGTGGGTCAGCTTCATGGCCAAGAGCAACAGCAAGTCTGCCAAGCTCTACGTTGGCCTCCCTGGCGGCCCGACCTCAAACTCGGCTCGCTCTGGCTACATCTCCCCTGACAAGGTCAAGGAGTTGGTGTGCAAGTACAGCACCAAGACCCCAAACTGGGGCGGCATCTCAGTCTGGGACCTCGACACCGCGGCTGCCAACGTCGTCAATGGCAAGAACTTCAAGCAGCACGTCGCCGATGCCCTTAAGTACGGCTGCAGACCTGTTCCCACGACCACCAGCACGACCGCCTCCTCCACCAAGTCTTCGTCGAGCTCAACCATCAGGGCTAGCTCGACGACTACCAGCAGCACGACCAAGGTCAGCTCCACCACGTCCAGCTCGACCAGCAGCAGCACCTCCAAGGCTAGCTCGACCGCCAGCAGCACCTCTGTGGCCAGCTCCACCACTGTTAGCAGCGCCACCGACTCCAGCTCAAGCAGCACTAAGGTGTTGTCTAGCAGTTCTACCAAGGCCATCTCCAGCACCGCCAAGCCCACCTCCGCCACCACCACGGACGTTACATCTCCTCCCGTCCCGACCTCCACGCCGGTGACCAGCATAGTGTCCAGCACGACCAAGTGGTCCAACTCGACCATCACTTCGGGCACTGTCTCCATGACGACGAGCACGGTCTACACCACTTCGGTGCACACCGTGACCAAGTGCCCTCCTTACGTGGCCAACTGCCCCAACGGCGGCTATGTCACGACTGAGACGGTCCCGCTCTACACCACCGTCTGCCCTGTCACGAAGACGCCCAAGCCGCCCCAGCCGACTCAGGCCAAGACCTCGGCGGCGTGGACCACGAGCACCGTCTACACCACTAAGATCCACACCGTGACGGCCTGCCCGCCCCAGATCGCCAACTGCCCCGTCGGCCACGTCACTACCGAGACCATTCCATGGTATACGACCGTCTGCCCCGTCACGGAGACGGAGACGGGCAAGGTGCCGCAGCCCACTCCCAGCGTGCCTGGCGACGTCTACCCGCCTCTGCTTGAGAGCACCTCTGCCACCTTGGCCAAGTCCAGCATCACCGAGACGGTCACCAATCCCGCCGACGTGGCGCTCAAGCCCAGCTGCTCCGGCCCCGGCTGCCCCGGCGTCTCGTCTGGCGTGGTCGTGCCCACGCTGAGCTGGACCACCACTCCGGACGCCCCCTCGCAAGGCTTCACCTCCACCCCCGGCGGCCCCTCGGCCGTGCCCAGCAACCCAGTGCAGGCCGGCGCCTCCACGCTAGCTCTCAGCCTGAGCGGCCTGGTCGTCATGGCCGCCTTCCAGGTGTTTGCTCTGTAAGGGGTGTGGCAGGGATTTATGCTTCGAGGCTTTTCATGTCTATTCACTCTCAGCATAGACGGAAACGAGCTCTCACGCCGCGCTCCGGCTTTGGTGACGGCTTCCCGCCGAATTTAAAATTCTTATACCTTCTCACGAATTTACGGTCTTTTGCGTTTAGACGGAAGGCATGTATTCTGGATGCATTGTGAAATCATCATCACCATCATATGGATAATTTACTTATTTGGCCGTTGTGATCCGCTGTTGAACTTGCTATTGACCATTTCTACATGAAGGTCTGTTTCCGTCACGGCGTCAAATGGATACGACGACGGGCTCATTAGTCTGCGACGCGGTCCCATGTGCGGGTTTCGAAAGTATCAAGAACAAGTATCAAGCCATGTACAGAATTTCACGATGTCTCAGAGCCCCTTTTCATTGTCGCTCTATGTCACTTCATTGCTGACCGAAGGATTGGGACATCCGACAAACAGGTAAAGTGGATCTTGCTTCCAAGACCCGGGGAAGCATCTCAACTGGGTGCAGCACATCTGCCCGTCTCGGATACTCTGAGTGCCGGCTATTCCCCGATCGACATGGACAAATAATCTAGGGCTTTCGCAGCATTGTCGGCGCCATTGTTATCAACATCTTCGCTAGCACGGATTCTAGGTCATTTCGAGGTCGCACTGGAAAGATCCTCTATACGCAAGTTGACGGTTCATCTTGCGTCGTTGAAGCTTGCTGCAGGGGGAGTCAGATGAGCCAAACTGCTCACTACCGACATGGCGTACGAGCGACCGTGGGAGGGTCTACGGCCGACAGTTTGCTGCTGGAAGGCGTGCATCCCAAAGGTGTTTCGTCCGGGAACGTGCGCCATCCACACAGCTGGTGCATCGGTGCCAGTGTGTACGCAGACACCAAGTTCGTTTCCTCCATCCCGGACCATGGGTATATGCTCTTGGGAGGCAAGACTCTGCGCAGGGATGGGTCGGAGCTGGGCCGTTGAAGATTTGCCTGTCCGAACTGGGGTCGAGAGTACGAGATAAGGTGGAGACGCTGGTTCGTCAATGTGGTAATGCGGATCGACAGCTTCAAGAGACCATCCGCCTTGTAGCGGCATCCCTCAGTCTGGGTGGTGTCATGTCTCTGGCCGCTGCCAGACCCATCTCCGCGCTTGCTCTCCACTTCCCAGTATTTCACGACGCTGCCCGACTTACGCCCGGCGCTCCACGACTTTCCGTCGGTCCATCTCCTGATTCCAGCTTCCCGCTCATCCCAGACGAAGACAGATCCTGAGCGGATCTGCCGCCTTTCCTTCTCCGAAAGTCGTCGCTGTACTCGAGGCAGTAGCCCAAACCGGCATGCCTCAAATAGCTTCATGACATCGCCCGTCGTCAACACATCACCACGGTACGTCTCCATTCTCTCGGTGTCGAGTTCGGCTTAATGAGTCCGTTTGTTGGCCGAGCGAGGTCGAACCGGATCACTCGGGTCTGGCCACCAACAACCAGTCGAACCCTTAACAGGAGTTTTTGCGCGAAAGGGATCCACGGAGAGCCGAGCTGGCCAGCTGTAAGCCGAGTTAGCTTCGGAGTCTGGGTAGGAAACCGACGGCATCTTCTAAAAGACCGAACGGTTCCCATTGGGGCCTACGGGTCACAGATACGTGTCGTGCCCAGTTACGCCCAGATCAGAGAGCTGGCGGAAACCCGGCATTTGCGACGCCTGAGCCGTCGCGCCCCAAACCGTCAGGATGCCAATGTCGAAGGAGCTCGAAATATGGAGTAGCAGGACTTGCGTTGCCAAAGGAGACCTACCATTCTGTAGTCGCAAGGGGTGAGTTTAGACAGGGGGATGTGGGAAAGTCAATTGGGGGCAACAGGAAAGTACAGAAGAACAACGCCCTCTCAAAATCATGCCGCAACCCCACCAAGTGGGATCGCCTGAGGGCCAGTCGCCCTTTGCCTGACCGGTTAGACTGTCACGTCACCTCATGTTCGCTGGAGCGGCTGTCCAACCTATCCATCGTGCATGGGTCAAGACCGTCCTGTCTGTGCTGCAAAGCAGCCAGGAAATTGGTTTTGATGCGCCTCTATCTACATTATTTCGCCTCCCCTCTCAGTCTGCTGTTCGTGGAGCAGGCGGGAAGCTCAAATCACATGCGAATGCGCAAGATGCAATGTTACTCTTCCAAGCAGGGAACTAGTGGGTCGCTTGAAGGCGTCACCTCCGCCTGCCCCCCTTTCCCATCCTCAAGAATCACGCAACCCACCAGTGCGGCGCCGGAGCTATCTCCGCCTTCTAGAGCTCCTGAATCCGCGCCCTGCAAAAGCCACGGCGGCGCCCGGGCCGGTTCCGCTAGATCTCAAGATCGAAAAAGTGTTGGCGATCCGCCATGCGCGGCCGTGGCCTTCCGCATTGGCAACAGACAAGCAACTACATTCTTCGCCGCAGTGGATCGTTATTTACCTCGTCAGTCCGCTGTCGTGCAATAGGAACGGAGGCCCATTCAGAACGGGGGCAAAGGGCTGGTAAAACCAACTGCAGAGGTCAGTGGAGCTTGCCTCGCACCTCCCGGCGTATGACGGGAAAGCATGAGATCTGGGTGCCGGCACCGTGACAGACACGGCGCTTGTGATCGATTCAAAGGGGCGAAGACGAAATTGGGTAGCCTGGCGCGACGGACGTCTCTTTGTTACCGGCGGCCATCGACAGCTGGCGGGCCACGGTCACTATCGCCCCACCCGATTCGCTGATAGGGTTCACCACGGCCATTGTACGGTGTCAAATGTCAGGGACCAGGCCTTCGGACATGATGGGACACTCGTCGCGCGTGGACTTTCCGTCGAGCGTGGTTGGCCGTGTGCATGAGGGTTAGCCAAACCGGGTCTAGACGTAAAACATCGAGATGCGGGCACCCCCAGGGCTGTGGGGCGCCGCAGCTCACGCGTGAACCTGCCTCGCTCGTACGCCGATCAGCATGACGGTGACTTCCTCTCTCCCGTTACGTATCACACAAAGCGAGGGTGTCCCGCCGGCAGCGTTGATCGAGGCATTGGGGTTGGCTCCTCTGGCGGGCAAATGGACTGTGGCCGGTAGGTGACCGCAAACAGCTGCAAGGTACGAGGCTGTCGGTCCGCTTGGAAACGCAAAATGTAAGTCGGCTCCTCCTTCAAGCAGCACTTCCACGACATCACCATGTCCGGCATGCGCGGCCAGGAACAAAGGCGTCGTATCATGAAGGATGCAATTGGGGTCGACTCTATTGTGGAGTAGTTCGCACACAATCCCCTTGTAACCACCACATGCGGCAAGATGAAGCAGGCGAGGAGGGCCGACGTAGTGCTGAATGTGACCGATGAGGACTGCGTCGTCCGATTCTATGGCTCTGGTCAGGGCAGTGGCTGAATAACGCTTGTAAAGAAGCGACTGCAGCCGCGCTCTGAGGACTCTGTTGGCAGGTACCAAACGGCCGGTTGATCTGCAGTCCCGATGCTACGCGATCGCTTCCTGCAGTTCAACCGACAGATTTAACAGGGTCCCCATCAGATTGGCTTTTGCCCCGTGGGCGGCGGCGAGGTGAAACGAAATGACATGCCCAGCAGCAGACGTTCAGCATTCTTCGTTACTTGCAGCAGAGATGCGCCAAACTCGCTCAGGCGGAACAACGTTTTCCTTCTCGTGCTGGTCCGAGGGCGATACATTTTGCCGTCACCCCCGCATTCTCGCGCAAGATCCCTGAAAGCCACCATTTGGACGAAGGCACCCACAACACCCAGATCAGCTATCCCCGGTCTGCAGGTTGCAGCGCTCCTGCCATGTTGGCCCACAGGACGCGCACAGGCGGACGTTACAACACCAGCAAACACTCGTCGATGTGGTGGAGTCGCTAGAAATCCCCGACCATCATAGATCTGCTACTGGAAACGGGTTCTTCTTCGGTCTCCAGAGAACAGAAGACCTCCAACGGTACCGAGGAGCCTCATGCGTATTGGCAGTTCACGTCGAGTGGCGCTTTACAGAGACTATTAGTCATATCTGAAAGGTGGGGATATACTGGAAGCAAATTTTGACGTCATGGATGAGACACAGTTCAAAGTTCAGAGAATGGCCTGCGCATTTACAAGGCAGCCTGGCAGGTTGCGATCGCGATAATAATGCTGGCAGGCACCAACCGGGCAATCGCCGAGTCTCACGCGGAAACGGAGAAACACCGACAGAGTGGGGCAATTGAAGGAATTGACGTTGTCACCTTGACGGTGAGGCTTGCCCCTGCTGAAAACTGTACAATAACATACTTGCGGACCCCACAGAGCCCTTCCCCTGATGGTAAGGAGAGCCTAGCGCGTCCCGACGGGACGGTCCGGCCGCCCGTGGCGGTCAGGTGTGGCGTCACACCCATTCGCAGGTGAATGGTTCGCCCGTCACATGCCTGAGCTGTGACGAGCTCTCTTTCCCTGGCTTAAGCCGAGCTGATTGCTTCGATCTTGCCTGGCAAGTCGCACGGCTCGACCAGGAGTCGCAGCCGATGCAACAACAAATGGGCCGCATTTCACGATCCAGCGATTATCCCTCGCAGGCATTTAGTTACAAGAGCCCAATGGCGTAGGGTGCATTCATTGCACATAACTGCGAGACGATGTGGATGATGCTGATCTGCACTCGGAATCACTGGTGCTTGATCGGATCCCGGAGTGGAACCAAGCGTCGCCGTGCAGTTGCGCCCAAGCGACGCTTTCCCAGGAGCTACAAAGGGTCCGCACTCGCGAGGAGCGACTGCCCGGCCCACAACTGGTTGATGGCGCGGTCTGTTTGATCTGGAGGCAGTCGTGGGGCAATGATGACCCAGCGAACCCGATCAGCCATATTCTTCTCTTCTACAGTGTCGGGTGCATACAGTAATGAATGTCCGTGGAAAACGTTGTTGAACGCGGCTGACGGCTGCGCCACTTGTGGCACATGGGGGGTTAGGAGGAGCCCGTTGATTGGGCAGCGCAGTGACAGCTGAGAGCCCTGCCTTTTCGCGCTGCGCCATTACCTAAGAATGGGATCTCTCTGGTCGTACCCAGCATCGTTCTACTGTGTCCTCAAGGCCATCATATGCTAGCCATAGAATATGTTTGCAGATGTCGCCTCAGGGCTAACGGTCCCTTGGCATGAGTAGCGTCAGTGTTCGGGAAAGACCCGTGTGACAGGCAGCTGGATTAGGAGCCTTGTCGACAGAATTCGTCGACACTTCGCTCGTTGCTAGATTTGTCGGCTGACTTCCGGGAACAGTTGTGCATGGCATAGCCACAATGCGCCACAGGCGCTGTCCTGCTACCCTTCCCCGCTCGTGGCTGTGTTGTTCGCCAACTCACGGTACAATCCGTCCGTCAGCAGCTCGGGCGGATAGCCTTTCCACTCCCTGCTCTATATACATCGACATTACGATACTCGACATGCACCCGGTACCCGTGGATCAATATGGAAAGGTTCGGTATTGTGGCGAATGTCATCGCGGTCGTAGACCTCTCTGTGAAGGTCACTGCTCTATGTGTGGACTACGGGAAGGGCGTCAAGAACGCGAAGAGTGACATCGTTCGACTTCACCTAGAAGTTGCCGGGCTCCAAAGTGCCGCGTACGGTGTCCAGGAGCTACTCCGAGGACCAAGCGGTGAGAGACTAAAAACCTCAGAGCAACTATGCAACGCCGCCCGTCACTGCCATTCGCAATTGCAGGCGTTGCTAGATCAACTTCGCCCAAAGACGGCTCCTGAGGCCTTGACTCCTATAGGGTTCCGTGCTCTAAAATGGCCTTTCCAGAGCAAAGAGGTCGAAAGGATCGTCCAAGACATGGGTCGATATGCGCAAGTGATGAATCAGTCACTGCAAGTTGATCAGACGTATGGCATATGCAGTCGGAGTGACAGAACCGAAGCTGACGAGTTTGTCCGCAGAAACCTTCTTTTCGATCTCGATCGGAGGGCAGTGCTCGGCCGCCTTGAGAACGACGTTGCCAAGGGCGCTTCATTTGACTCCCGCGCGGAGGAGCATAACTCAACGTGCCTGCCAAACACCCGAGTCGAGATACTCCAACAAATTTCGGGCTGGATACTGGATCCTATGGCGGAGGCGGTGTTTTGGCTCAACGGCATGGCCGGCACGGGGAAGTCTACGATATCTCGAACCATCGCTCAGACATTCTCCGGTACTGGTCATCTCGGCGCCAGTTTCTTCTTCAAAAGGGGCGAGAACGACCGCGGGAACATGTCTAGGTTCGTATCTACTATCGTGGCTGATCTCACGAGGAGGGTACCAGCCACCGCTCGTTACGTCAAGGCAGTCATGGAGGACGACCCCGGGATCCTGCGGAGAACGATGAAAGAGCAGTTCGAAAGGCTTATCTGGCATCCGGTATCAATGCTCTCCAAAGACTCCGTCAACCGAGGGCCAATCGTCATCATTATCGATGCCCTGGATGAGTGTGAAAACGAGGACGATATAAGGGTCATGATTCGACTGTTTTCTCGCACCCGGACGCTTTTGGCCGTGCGATTGAAGATCTTCTTGACCAGTAGGCCTGAACTGCCGATTCGGATGGGGTTTAGCCGCATAAAGGGCAGGTACCAAGACTTGATACTTCACGGTATCCCTATGCCAGCAATCGAACACGACATAAGCACCTTTCTTGCGCACGAAATGGCCAGAATACGAGAGGAATACAATTCTTTGGTCTCACCAGAATTGCATTTGGCCAGAGATTGGCCAGGGCAGTCGAAGATTGACGCTCTCGTGAAGTTGGCGACGCCGCTCTTCATTGCTGCCAGCACGATCTGCCGTTTCATTGCTGAGGCAAGAATTGGAACACCCGACAAACAGTTAGAGAGGATTCTCGGTTCTCAAATTGGCCGAAACGGAACTCCACTGGGTACCATTTACCAGCCCATCTTGGATAATCTTGTGACCGGAACATTTGTTGATCAACGGGAAGAAATCATTCAAGATTTCCGCAGCGTCGTCGGCACCATCGTTACCCTCGCGAGTCCCTTGTCGATATCCGCTCTGGCATCGATGCTTCACATTCCTAGACGTGCTGTTGAAGGCAGACTGGCGACGCTCCACTCTGTTCTTAGCATACCGGAGACGACAGATGCACCGGTGAGGCTATTTCACCTGTCATTTCGCGACTTCTTGGTGGACGCGGCGCATCGGACAGGCAATGATTTCTGGATAAACGAGCAAGAGTCCCACCAGGAGATGGTAACGCACTGCCTGCGCGTTCTCAAATGCCTCAGACGAGACATATGCGGTATCAGGGCTCCCGGAACTCATCGATCGGCTATCGATCAATGCAAAGTTGACGCGTCTATTCCGCCAGAGGTTCAATATGCCTGTTTATATTGGGTTTATCACTTGCAAAACGGAGCCACACCTGTTCGTCATTGCGACCAAGTCATGGCCTTCCTAGAGGGTCATTTCCTTCATTGGCTAGAATCATTAAGCCTCATTGGTAGATCCAGGGAGGGTGTTCATCTCATCGGGACGCTGCAACTACTTTTCAAGGTACGTGGTGCATGAGGTCACACGCGGATGTACTCGGCTAATTCCAAGTCAGGACGGTGGACTTAAACGACTGTCCGAGTTCCTGGACGACGCAATGCGTTTCGTCCAAACACATAGTTTCGCCATCGAGAACACGCCACTACAGTTGTATTCCTCCCTTCTTGTTTTTTCGCCAGAAAGAAGCAAAGTGCGCGCTACGTTCGCAAGCGACATTCCGCCGTGGATATCAACACAACCCAAGGTTAATGATGACTGGGGTAATTGCATCCAGACGCTTGAGGGCCACCACCGCAGTGTCATCTCGGTGGCCTTCGCGCACGACTCTGCGCTAGTGGCATCAGGGTCAGACGACAGGACGATTCGGCTCTGGCGCACGGCCACGGGCGAGTGCATCCGGACACTTGAGGGCCATGACAGCATGGTCAAGTCGGTAGCCTTCTCTCACGACTCAGCGCTCGTGGTATCGGGCGCCTGGGACCAGACGGTTCGAATCTGGCGCACTGTCACGGGCGAGTGCATCCAGACGCTTGAGGGCCATGACAGCTGGGTCACGTCGGTAGCCTTCTCTCACGACTCAGCTCTCGTGGTATCAGGCTCCTATGACAAGACAGTTCGATTCTGGCGCACAATCACGGGCGAGTGCATCCAGACGCTTGAGGGCCATGACGACTGGGTCACGTCGGTAGCCTTCTCTCACGACTCTGCGCTGGTGGCATCGGGCTCAGACGACAGGACAATTCGGGTATGGCGTACGGCCACGGGCGAGTGCATCCAGATGCTCAAGGGCCATAGCGACGACGTCACGTCGGTAGCCTTCTCACATGACTCAGCGCTCCTGGTATCGGGCTCAAATGACGAAACGATTCGGGTATGGCGCACGGCCACGGGCGAGTGCGTCCAGATGCTCAAGGGCCATAGCGACGACGTCATGTCGGTAGCCTTCTCTCACGACTCTGCACTCGTGTTGTCAGGCTCAAGTGACAAGGCTATTCGGGTCTGGCGCACGGCCACGAGCGAGTGCGTTCAGACGCTCGTAGGCCACGGCCTCGGTGTCAATTCGGCGGCCTTCTCTCACGACTCTGCACTCGTGTTATCAGGCTCCTATGACAAGACGGTCCGGATCTGGCGCACGACCACGAATGAGCGCGTTCATGCTCTTAAGGGCTATGACAACGGGGTCTCTTCTGTAGTGTTCTCACACGACTCTACCCTTGTGGTATCGGGCTCCCGGGACAAGGCGATTCGGCTCTGGCGTACAGCAACCGGCGAGTGCATCCAGACACTCAAAGGCCATAGCGATAATGTCACTTCCGTGGCCTTCACGCACGACTCTGCGCTAGTGGCATCAGGCTCAGATGATACGACACTTCGGGTTTGGCGCACGGCCACGGGTGAATGCATCCAGACGCTTGAGGGTCATTGTGACTCGGTCGTATCAGTGGCCTTCTCTCATGACTCTGCGCTTGTGGCATCAGGCGCAGAGGACCAGACGATTCGAGTTTGGCGCACGGCCACTGGTGAGTGCCTCCAGAAGTTGGACGTTGGTTTTCAACCATTCAATATATCGTTTCGGGCGGACGATTTATATCTGTTGACCGATCATGGTTCTGTCGCCATACTGCAAGTTCCAATCTGGTCTTCTGCCGAGCGTTCAACAGACTGTGCATCCAAGGGCAACTCTTTTTTAAGCATCAGCGCGGACGGTTGCTGGGTTGCCTGGAAGGGATCTCCCCTTCTCTGGCTACCGAAAGACTATCGACCTTTCGATTCTGCAGTTTCCGGATCATTCACCGCGCTAGGCTCAGCATCTGGCCATGTTACTATCATTGGAGTCTCCCACGAGCTCCTTCCAGACGGTGTTGCGGGGGCCGGTATACTCACTCACTAGTTGATTACGCCCGGTGGCAGCTTGGCCAATAGGGCTACTATCTGCTTATTTGACATTCTTGTTAGGCAGTCCTTCCCTGGCTGCCTGGGAACCCTTGTCATGCTCGATTTCTCCTTTGATCATTCCGCCTTTCTTGCTGCATTTCCATCGCACTACGGGGTCTCGTGGAATTGTATTATT